GGTTGAGAATGTTTCCAATGGGCATCTTAGCCTTAAATTGAATTAAACAAACTCCAGGCGGCAGACGATAATTTTATGTCAACACAGGCAGGAATTCAACATTTCAGGACCTTCGCACAGCCATTCTTCGTCTGCAATTAGACGTTTTTCATTTTTTCCTGAGACAAAACGTGAATTCCATAAATCTGACTCGGTGAATGCCACAAGAGGAAATGGATTCTTTCTCTCAAATACATTCTAGTTAATACTTAATGTTATTATAGTTTCGAGTACTTCCTCAGGATTCTTCAAACCTCGATGCTTCTTTCTTTGTTAGGAACTACATTCAGATGATACGGTGCTGATGACAACTACAAAACGTTCTAGAGAAAGTAGCAAAGAAAAGCGACAAGAAAGGACTAAACCTTAATTATAAAGAAGACAGAATGTAGAGTCTTTAACATGAGAGACAGATAAAGGCGTGAGCATAGAATTAGAAACATTATAATCAAGAAGTTGATGCTCGGACTTACGATCCATCACTAAAGATGATGGAAAAAAATGATCGCTCCAGTAAGTACCTGACAACTCCTGCTATACTGTACCTTTACAAGAAACAGATCAAGCCGCTGCCAAATGTGGACAAGAGGTGCCAGATCTTCACTTTCGAGTCAATATTTAGTTCAGAATCCGCGTCCTTGTGGGTGATGGATTATTTTTTTACCCTGCAACCCCTTTTCCATAGACTAAACTTTTCAAGCCTCTCGCCGCTTCATCGGTCTTTCAATAAAAAGTGCTCAGACGAACTACATTCTTTAGTTCCACCTCTTCTAGCATACACGCCTAAGACCCGCCATGCCACGCCCATTGTAGCGAACCACCCTCGTTTTCATTGTATTCTATTAGAGAGATATAAGTACCACACGAAGAACAGCTGCTTTGCAGAAACAACTCCCAAGTGGGTGCTTCCCGATTATTACAGTCTTAATCTATTCAAGTCTAGGGTTAACCGTTATTGGTGGAGCCTCAGACAAAGTCCTTGTTTAGTTGGACGAGGAAGTTTTGCACTGTAAATGCTGTGGCCAACTACCAAGCCATAGGGTTTAGGCCACTAACATTAGCTGAGGTGGCAGAACACATTTTAAGCGACAGAAATCAACTCGTGGCATAGTCCAAGCAGTTGCTGCTTCTGAGAGTTCGAAATCCCCCTTGGTGTTCATTGAAATAAGAGTGAACGTAAATAAGCATTTTTACCAGCAAATGTTGGCAAGAAACGTGTTGCCCTGGCAGTCAGCCACATTTAAGAATCGCTATGCCTTCACTCAAGACAGAGCTTCCGCATACACGGTCAATTTGACGCAGAACTGGTGCAAGAGACACTTCCGTCGATTTTCTGACAATTTATTTTGGCTTCCATCACACCCTAATATTAATCCTACGGATTTTGCTATATGACCGATTCTGGAGAACGATGCTTCAAGTATTAAATACTCACATGTGTAAAACCTGAAGGTAGTTCCAAACACCTGAAGAAGGCCGAAGCGTACAACGGCCGAAACGTTGTGATAAATATGGCGAGAAAGATGAGGACAATAGTCCGAATAATGTAAATAATGTACTGAAGGTAGTTCTTATGTCGTTGTGGTAGAATTTGAGCAAACATCTGGTGAAGAAATTATGCATTTCTGTTGAAAAGAGATGAATAACTATGGTGAATGTAAAGGGTAGGCATTTCGAATGTACTTATTGTGCTTAATGGTTAATCCAGCCGTGGACACAGCGTATATGACAAAGATATTTGATTAATCTGAAGCATCTACCGAAAACAAACAGCCTGCGTGCTTATAGGAAAGACAGAAAAATGGAAGGAGAAATAAAACATGGATGCGTTGTCGAATCTGTTTAATGTAACGACTCTAACATAACTGAAAGATAGTATAGGATTTATTGTAAAGGAATATAAACTTAATAACATGAGATACGCTGGAGACAGACTAAGAAAGTAAAGATAAAGTAAAGAAAGACAAAATAAAGGAAAGCAAGAAGAAAAGACTAAGTATATATTTTTAAATATACGAAGTGATACATGGTCATCACGAAAATAGACAACCCTGGTGTATGTTACATAACGGGGATGTCAAGATAGTGTAGTTTATAGTAATTGACGACACAGAAATTCGAAGGAGTATCAGTTATGTGCCATGCGTGATAAACGCTAAGGCGATCATGCATATTTCGATGCGTGACTGACGAGGCAGATTTTTTTCCGCAGTAGACTGCCATTTCTTTCTGCGGTAGACAAGTTGCCATCCAAAGCTACAGAACCCAGTCTGTTCTGTTATTTACCCATAGCTGAGGGGAGAAGAAGAGGATTCATACCATTCCCAAGGGTATTAACACGTAAGTGAATGCAATGGATGCGACTGGAATTCGAACTCGGCTCTCCGTATCCTCAATCCGAGTCGCTATCCAATACTACAATGTGCCTTCCATCGAAGAAGCATACGGATGGGAAAGAAGGTCTTTTATACACTAAACAGAGTACTAAGAAGAGAAATAACATTATAATGAGATTAAATAGACATGGACAATGAAACGAGAATAGCCAGCCTCCGTAGATAAAATGAAGGGTGACAGTTTTAGAATTCCCTGTAGGATAACCAGATCGATATAAACCTGATGGGACCCAACGATATACACACGGAGGGCACAACGATCGAAAACTTGTGATGCAACAGCAATGATGAGGACACTCGTCTGAAGATAAATATTATAAATAATGATAACTCCTGATTTCTGAATAAATCAGACAGAAATCACTGAACGGCCTCGATGTAATGCACCAATGGAGGCAACAAAGAGGAGGATCATGTTATAAATATAAATAGTGTAAATAATGAGAAGTCCTCATCCCAGAAATTCAGATAGAAAGATAAATTTTGTTTATATTTCATTTTTGTTCTGTTTTTTTTTTTTTTTTATAAAGTTTTCTCTCTTCATTCTTAATACAAAATATTTTTTTTATTTAAACACTTAAATAATATATAGAAATATAATAGTCATATCAAACAGAAAATATGATTGATTAATTAACACCTTAAAATATAGAGGATGTCCATAAAGTTCGTGTGCACTTTAAAAAATTTATAACTTTATTTGTATTTGCGATAGAAATAATTTGTAAACAGGATTAGAAAGAAGTAAATCAATATTTTTTAAGGTCTTATTGAAATTTTATTTAAGTTTCCATATGTCCTCCATCATTTGCAATACATAGGGTAATACGATTTTGTAGTTCACGGAAAACATTTGCCAACTGATTTACAGTAATGCCTGAAATCACATTAGTTATTTTAGCTATACTTAAAACTAGGTACATTAAACTTTATAACATTTTTTACAGATTATTTCTATCGCAAATACAAATAAAGTTATACATTTTTAAAGTGCACACGAACTTTATGGACACTCTGTATTACCCAAAAGCAATGTAATATTTAATATCCTATTTGAACATGCTGGTCAGTCTCCCCAAAGAAGAAGATAGTTGAAGCGAAACATATGAGATTCTACTGATGAATACTGAGACCCGGGTTCGAATCATTCTGACAATGAGACCCGGGTTCGAATCTCACCATGGTAGATTCCTGAGACCTCCTGATATTATCGAACTGGAGGGGTTCGATCCCAGCGTGCGGCACATTTTGAAAGTGCCTGAAAACCATACCACGGGCTGACCCAATCTTTGTGAGTGAAATTGTGTAAGAACACTTGATGGCCGTCGATACCTGTGATAACAAAAAGTCACAAGTCATCGTAGATGAAGGCTTCAGCGTTCAGGTCTTGTTAAATTGTTGATCACGCTAGATAACATGCTCTTTCCCAAAAACTGTTACTAAGGTCTGCTCAACATAGTTGCAGTATAAACCACAGGTGGGCTCTGTGGGTGTTGAATAGATACAAATGCGCCTGAGCAAGCGTCTGCAATAGGGATTGTCTAGCCGCCCTAGTAGACGAATATCCTCGAATACGCGTGTCCAGCTATACGAAACGACTGAGAATACTATTGACAGAAAATAACACCATATATATATATATCGTGCTTAGTGGTAGAATCCCCGACTGATGCCCAGTCAGTCGGGTTTCGGGCCTAGCTAGAGGCAACCGGAGGTCTAGCCACACTGATGAGCTGTGATACAGCGAATCAGTATGTCTTTGGATGTCAATAGATATGCTCCTGAAAAATTTATTTCGGTTGAGCTCTCTAGGGAGGAAGTGTGGGTTTGTAAACAGTGACTATTACGGCTAATAATGCAAGACTCTTGGGTAAATCGAATCGAGTTCTCTCAGTGACTGTGTGTTTATCTAAAAATAAATATGCTTAAATTCACTTTCATCTCTACCGTGTGCTAACGGCTTAGTGATAGAATTCCCCGACTGATGTCAAGTCAGTCGTGTTTCGATCCTAGCTAGAGGCAACCTGAGATCTAGCCACACTGATGACCTGTGATACAGTCTGTCTGTGGAAGACAGTATATATATATATATATATATATATATATATATAAACTTCAACTAAACTTTTCTGATACAAAGAACCAGAAATTGATATTTTAAATTCATAATGAGGTAGGAGAGCCTGGTAAATCTAACACACACAATGCATTGATGGCCCGAGAAAGCAGAAGGAAACAGCGAATAACTTGATTAGTATATCTGAATTGATATTAGAACAAGGACAGAGATATAATGATGCGTTTTTTTACGGCTTATCAACCCTTTGCAGGTTATTTAAAGCCAGGAAATAGTTTTACATTGTAAGAGTTTTTAGATTTTAATATGTTTTTTCTTTTTTCCGATAATAATGGTTTTAGTGATACTCATCTTACTAATTAACCAATAGCTTGGGGAAAACAGGATGGATTCATATCTTTCCCAAGGTTAGTTGCGCGTAAATGAATATAACTAAACCAACTTCAATTCCGATTATCAATATCTATTACACCACCCGCACACTCAAGCTTGCAGCACCTGATATTCCCGAGCGGTTACCCATCTAGGTATTGACCAGGATCGACGTTTCTTAACTTTGATGATCGTACGGTAGCAGGTGCTTCAACGTGATCTGGCCGTAAGCCAAGGACAAAGAGGGATGGCAAAGAAGACAAGAAGTTGTGGAGAGCCATTTTTCTGTGTCTGTATCTTGCCTACTACTAGTAAATTGCGTCCTACGTCGACCTAAAAAAATTTTATTTCAAAATTCAAATAAAAGCTTCAATTTGTTTTATGGCATCTCTCTGTCATTTCTGCAAATATTTTCATGGTTACTCTTCTGTTGAACTTTTTTCCCCTCCTCATCCCTGACTACATAAATTTAAGCGTGTTACTAGATTGGCAATTAGGTCCCACTGTTTTACCGTTGAAATAGTTAAATGTATTCACCACTTCTACTCCAACATCTTCTTTTCTCGCTCTTCCCGCCTGTGGAGCTACCTTTCGTTTCCTTACTTCCCTGATAACTACAATCTTCAAAAATTTAAATGCAACGTCAATCACCATCTTCTAATGTCTCGAACTCCTATGCATAGTTTTTGTTATCCTTTCCTCATTCTCACTATACACAGTTTTTCTCTCAGTTTCACTCTGTGTACCCCCGCCCAACGAATCAGTGGTACGCCCGCCTTGCTTGGGTTGAAATGGTTTTAAAAAGTCAAACGCAAGTGCTAAGCAATAGCAATTGTGTTAATCGACAATCCTCTGTTCACTAAAGTGCTTCAGCCAAAACCATGATTAGTCAACAGAATTTTGGGTTAAAGAAAGTTCCATTTGTAAAGCTTCTTCAAAGGAACCGCTATGGTATGGAACAGACTCCAAGAGGATCCTTACTCGATCAATACAATCCTAACTTCTTCAAGTCTAAGGGCATCCGTTATCATTCCTATATATCTTCATCAACTTCATTTCTTGCCTCTTATTACGTTTATTAAGCTCAATCAGTAACCCTCTATCTGGAATGCCTCTCGGACCTCGTATTTGGTGAACAATTAGTTAATAATAATAATAATAATAATAATAATATATTGTAGATCTATCAGATCTTTTTTCAAAAATTCGTTAATGACCTCGACTTTGGACTAGCGTTTGTTTTGTTACCTATGTATGGCGCATTCTAGATTGAAATCATTCATCGTTCAATTACGAGTTGGATGTTGACTTTGTGTCCACAAATGAATGCCGTAAAGATGGACGACGAAAATAGTGTGCTCCATAAATTTTGGAAAGAAGCTTACGTCGGAACTGCGACCGTAAACATTCAGGTTTATTTGTATCGTGCTCCAGCACTTTGAATGGTCAAGAAGTGGTCTGTCTTCCCGGTGATTTGAACCTGGACAACCAAGCACGTTACGTCCGACCTTCAGACATCAATGAAGATCGCGGAGAATAAACCGAATGTTTCGATGGAAGAGATTTCTAAGAATTTGAAAATTGACATCTTAACATATTTTGCCATTTGAGAAGACTTGCGTTCAAGAAAAACGGACAATTTTGGTAAATTGGTAGGAGTCATTTTCTACTACGACAACGCAAGCCAGCATGCTGCACCCATCCAGCACCCCATCGTATTCTCAAGATTGGATTCTTCGGATTGGTATTTGTTCTGGTCTCTACAGAACCATTTAAATCCCGCCCCCAAATTATCTTTGTACAGTCAGTCGAAAAGAACCTGACAAACTTCTTCCAACAAAAAAAAAAAACCAACGTGTCTTCGAACACCACATCAACAAGCTTGGACGACGACGGAAGACAGTTCTTAAAAAACAGTAGCGACTGTGTACTTAACTAATAAATGTATTTTGTTTTTTTTGTGAGCATGTAAAATCTTTTTAAATGTTCTAATCAAGCCCTGTCTTTTGGAATGATCTAATATGTCAATGTCTACTGCTCTCCTAATTAATCTTCTTTTGTTCTCACCCTATACCAATGCTTCTGTTTTCTAATTCTTCCACACCCAGTAACCCATTTGTGTCTTAGTGGCTTTAATGCCTTGATTCAGATGAACTAGATTGAAAAGAAAAATAATAATAATTAAACATTTCACGTTTATTCGAACTGTTAGCCTCATTTTCATTGCCGTATTCACAACGTTTCGGCCGTTGTACACTCCAGCCTTCTTCAGGTGATTCAAATTTAGAACTGAACTCTTTATTTCATCACCGGGGTAGATTGTTCTAGTTCCACGAGCCATGCCTCTTCCGGATATCCCCGTTATTTCCCTTTAACTCAACTCTCCATTTCTTTTCACCATTGCTGTAACCAAACCTTTATCCACTGCGCCATGTGTTCTTAGCAAGATCTATGTATGAATATGCAACAATAATAACGGAAAAATTGCAATATGAGCACTGGTAAAAACGGTTGCTGAGACATTAAGTTTATAAGTTCCAGGAATCCATAAACATCAAGCCTTTATCCACTGAGCCATATATCCATGAAGGACACATGGCTCAGTGGATAAAGACGTTGGCTAGATCCACTGACTAAAGTTGTGAGTTCAATAGCGGGCTACGGCAGTGGTGGATCTAAAAACTTGGAGAGATGAATAGGAAATAAAGAGATATCTAGAAGACGAAAGAAAGGGTTCGGTTCGAAATTCCCATCACATGGAGAAGTCCGGAGCGTACAACGGCTGAAACTTAGTGAATATGGCGATGAGGATAACAGTCCGAATAATGTTTTTAATCATATTATCTTATCTCAGAATATAATGTAAATAATCATAATAAGAGTTAGAGTCAGAAGCATTTCACGATATCCCGTTTATATTCGTGTGACAAAGTAATCAGTTTTCTTACTCAATAGTGTGGTTAAGGGCCGCACAAGAAATATTAGTTCATATTACTTGCCAATCGTTTTTAGCCTCTGAGGAACATATTTCGTGTCTTCAGTCACTGAAATTCTTGACTGCATTCTTGGACCATATCCACAGTTGCTTTCCGTTCCTTTAAGAACTGATTGTACGAACCTGAGAAGCAATGTACATGACAAATTTCGCGTGGAGGTTAATGTTACGCATTTCGTCCGTCTTCTCGAAGGAATTTATAGGATTAGAGTAATGTTTTTGTTGATGGAATTATGTAATGTGTATGAAAGGGAAGGAGAGTTATAAAAACGCGGAGGCCGGGTGTAATTATGCAATGACTAGAAACACTGAAGGTGTTAGAAAATTGAAATCTTTTGTCTCAGATGTGGGCGTGTAATCTAGCCGAGTTCATTTAATTACCTTATGCTTTTGTTTTTATTTCAGTTTTAAGTATCTTACATTGTGATAATAGATCTGCCAAGAAAGGTGAAATGATATAAGAACGTAGACATACATTTACCATGGATGATCTAGCGATAAAAGCACATTCTATACGAATTAGTAAATTACTTTCTCTTTTAATTATTTATTATTACATTAGTAAATTACGTTCTCTTTTAATTAAAGTAGTATTTTTTAAATCGAAATTATGCTCAGACTCATTAATGCATCGAGTGTGTTGTTTTATAAAAGTTCTCTTTTGTTTTCATATAATATTTTATATAAATTCTTTGAGGTTTCTCCTATGTATTCCTCGTAGCAATCATTACAATGATAGTGTAAACTTTCCTCTATGGTACCTAGACGTTATGAATTTAAGTCGAGTACTGGATTGGCGTCAACGTGTCATGAATGTACTGTTGAAAGGGCTAAATGTAACCGTAAGTTTTATGCTAGCAGTTTCTTCTGTCACACTTCTTGCTTGTGGAACTCTCTTCTGGCTTCTTGCTTCCCAGTCAAGTTTGATCTTTTCTAAACTTTAAATGCAGTGTTAAACGTTATCTCCTGCCTTAATTCTTTTATTGTCCTCTCTTATTATTAGTTTGTTTGTTTTTTTTGTTTTTTGTTTTTTTTTGTTTTTTTTTTGTTTTGTTTTTTCATATTCTCTAACGCTCAGTAACCTCTGACATCCTAGTGGCTTTATTAACTCGCTTGGGGTGAAATAATTTTTCTTTTATTAATCATGTCTCTTTTTGAAGTCTTTTTAGAGGACAAAACGCGGAACACAGAAATGTTTTCAACTTTGTCATTCATTTGCCTAAAAATGTTCTGATAGAAATTTATCTATCATGTATTATTTAATGCGGAATTTTGAAACATCTCTTCACTGAGGTTTGATGAGTGAGCACCAATAAAGCAAAGGTTTAGGCCTCTTACGATTTCTAGCTTTTGCCAAGCTTTAGAATTTCTGATAAAAGAACGGATGAAGTACAAGATTGCAATTCATTCTAAAAAGAGGAAAGTAAACTGAAATAAGTGTGCGAAGTATGAAAGTGAATACTTTCATGTAGACTGAACCGACATAGCCTCAGATAGTAAATACCTGTGTTTCATTGAATCATATCGACATATTGGGTCTAATTCATTTTACACTGATCTTTTCCAGTTGTCAAAATCAGTTTCTTGACGTAAAGATAAAATTTATCAAGAAAAGGCATGTAGCTTTTTCCTTCCCAAGTATTTTTGATTTCCTCCAAAAACACCCACAGGGGTGAATTACAAAGACAAATTTAATGCAACTGTGATAAATAAAATCTACATATATATATATATATATATATATATATATATATGCAAATATATAGAAAAATTAGAAAGAACACGTTAGGTAAATAATCCGAAGTTCTTTAGTATTTTTATTTTTAAAAAACAGTGCCCAATACATAAGTAGAGCCTAAATTATAATTATTTTTTTTAAATATGAAACAGAGCTTGATACTTTAATTCAATTTAATTTTAATAATTATATTGCAGTTTTTAAAACATGAGAACTCTCATGTAGCGAAGGAATCATATTTTTTAAAAGTAATTATATATATATATATATATATATATAAAAGTGAACATAGAAGTCAACACTTAGAGGCGACAGTCTGTTTCATGCTATATGCAATCGTCAGGCCACGTGTGCTGTTATTTTTCTCGGCTATTTATATATATATACGGGTTAGTGGTGCATTGTGGGTATTCTATTATGGCGGTTATTTTTACCGGAAGTCGCTTTGTTCATTTATTTGGGTCAAGTTATATTGCTCGTTTTTATTTATTTTTTTA